CGTCGACGTTAAAGTCCGGGCGGAGCTGGTTGGGATAAACGGCCAGGGGACCGTCGCTGAAGGGATCCTGGACACCTCCTTCTATGGCGTACCGATTCGATTCCATGTCGTGGAGGACACGTTCCCTATCGAGAAGGATGGGATCATTGGATCGGACTTCCTGAGGAAGGCGGGTGTGGAAATAGCATACCCCGAAGAGTGTATGCGAATCTCTGGCGACGTGATACCCTTTACGGACTGTACGGTCACCATTCCAGCCCGGAGCATAGGTGACGTGGTTGCTGAGGTCAGAGGCCCTGCGATGTCCGAAGGCTTCGTCGAAGGAAGACCACTCTCCGATGGAGTGTTAATGGGAAGCGCCCTTGTTAAAAATGAGAACGGGAAAACGATAGTCCCCGTCGTAAATCTCACTGCAAGTGAGATCGTGTTAACGGAGCCCAGTGTGGAGTTGCTCCCTTTCGAGGAGGGATTCCGAAGTGAGGCCCTGTCCAAGCGCAAACCGGTGACTCGGGATGTCGAGTCTACCGATCATAGTGCCCAAAGGAGGCATGATTCTTGCGATGCTGATTTCGCTGATCATAGTGCCCAAAGGAGGCATGATTCTTGCGATGCTGATTTCGCTGATCATAGTGCCCAAAGGAGGCATGATTCTTGCGATGCTGATTTCGCTGATCATAGTGCCCAAAGGAGGCATGATTCTTGCGATGCTGATTTCGCTGATCATAGTGCCCAAAGGAGGCATGATTCTTGCGATGCTGATTTCGCTGTTTGTAATGCCCAAAGGAGGCATATACCTTGCGATGATGATTTCGCTGTTCTTAGTGCCCAAGAGAGGCATAGTTGCGGAAAGGTTCCCGATAGCGATGGGAACCGCTCCACATTCGAAGCGCGCGTGGACAAAGAGACCCCTTCTATTCCCGAGAAAGGAAGACAGCTGCCCTCGGCTGCCGAGCACGAAGATTTAGTACATATATATAAGGCTAGTAATAAGTTAAACGTAAGCACGACGCGAGATCCACAGGCGGGATCTGCTGCAAAAGTTGAGTCGAAGGATCGGGATTCGGCCCTCGGAACCGATCAGAAACCCGAGGACTTGGAACCTGACCTGGACAACTTGATCTCCAGTGCTGAACCCGAATTGGGAAGGAAAAAGTTACCGCCGGACAAACCCGGTAACTCCTGGACGGGTTCGTCCCCGTCCACGGGCAGCGAACAGTCAACGCCCGAAGGAAGCAGCATTGAAGCTTCCGCCCATGGAAAAGGACTGGGGTCCCTGGAATTTCCCACCTCTCTCTACGGGGATACGGAAGAAGAGTCTCTCGAGTCAAGCAGGATGCACTCGCTGGAGGAAATCAAGAATCACATCGACACCTCACACTTGAACAACGAGGAGGTCAAGAGCGTGGACAACCTGATCCTCGAATTTAGAGACTTGTTCTACCTACCAAGGGATAAGCTGGGGTTTACCAACGCCGGTTCACATAGGATAGATACAACCGATAATCTACCTGTAAACATTAAGCAGTATAGGTTCCCCCCTATACATCGCGAAGAAGTAAATTCGCAGGTTAAGGAATTGCTGAGCAACGGAATAATACGGAATTCGGTATCTCCGTATAATTCCCCCGTCTGGATTGTTTCGAAGAAACCGGGTCCGGATGGACGAAAGAAGTGCCGCATGGTCGTCGATTATAGACAGCTCAACGCCAAGACGATTCGTGATGCCTATCCGTTGCCCAATATCACTGAAATCCTCGACCAGCTTGGTGGGGCAAAGTACTTTTCTATAATCGATCTGGCCTCTGGGTTTCACCAGATCCCCATACATCCAGAGCACGGCGAGAAGACGGCGTTCTCCTCGCCCAACGGGCACTACGAATTCACTAGGATGCCGTTCGGGTTGAGTAACGCCCCGGCTACCTTCCAACGTACGCTCAATCGTGTACTCATGGGTCTGCAGGGATCTGAGATGTTCATATACGTGGATGACGCTGTACTCTACGCCAGTTCACTCGAGGAACATGAAACCAAATTCCGACGACTCGCCGCTCGCCTCCGAAGCGCCAATTTAAAAATTCAAACTACCAAATGTGAGTTCCTTCGGAAGGAAGTTTCGTACCTCGGCCACATCATCACCGAGGAAGGGGTCAAGCTAGACCCAAAGAAGGTGGAGGCCATCCAAAGGATGCCCATTCCTACGACCACCAAGAAGGTGAAGGGTTTCCTAGGACTGGCTGGATACTACCGACGGTTCATACCCGACTTCTCGAAGCACGCCAGACCACTGACCTGCCTCTTAAAGAAGGGAGTACCGTTCTCTTGGGGA